ACACTCCTAACCCAAAGTGTGGCCCTATGGAACCTAAAAAGGTCAGCATAGCCACATAATGACTGCACGTGGATTCTGAAGTGAAGCTGCTCTGAGCCCAAATCCTGACTCAAACACTTAAAAGCTGGGTGACTCTGGGCCAGACAGCTAACCTCTCCTGAGAGAAGCGTGAAATTCTTAAGATTCTTCTCATTCTTACAATGGATTCTTATGAGAAAAATGAGAACAAAGGCACAATACTTAGCATAGTGTCTGACACATAGTAAATAAACCAACTGTCATCAAACTGCTTCCAAGCCATGGTGACCCTGTAGGACAGAGAACGTGTCCACGGGGCTTCCCAGACTGTAACGGTCATGGAGGCAGGCTGCCTCATCTCTCCTCTGTGGGGTGGCTGGTGAATGAGAAACTTTAGGTTAGAGTCTCAATGCTTAATCCACTGGGACACCAAGACTGGCACATAATGAATTTGAATGCGCCTGGCATGGTCTTGAGGAGGGAAGACTCAGTCAGTGGGCTGCTCCAATCCTCTGGGACCAAGCCTTCCCTTGCAGACAACGTTGGGTCAGGAGGATGGACGTGTCTCCCCACAGGGGGCCCTTAGGTTATCTCTGGGGCTCCCTCAGCCTCTCTGGTGTCCTGGCTATCTCAGGTGTCAGCATCTCGTTTCTTAGGTCACTTCTGGTGCTTCCTCAGCGTCTCAGGTGTCCTGGTCAGCTCTTCCTATGACTGCAGTTTTTAGGTGCTGTTGACTCAGAGTGATTCCATGAGAAACAGGAGAACTCCCTCATGGGTGTTCTAGGCTGCCATAGTTATGGAAAGGAATTCTGGTGGTGTCATATGTAATACACTGAACTGTCACCCTAAAGGTCAGCTGTTGGAATCCACTAGCTTCTCTGAAAGGGAAATATGGGTAGTTTCCTTCTGTAAAGATTATCTTCCCATATGTAATCACTTCCATTATCATTTCCAAGGATAAAACCTTAGAAACGTGGTGGTGGGTCATTATGAGTCAGTGAGAATTGACTCAACCCCAGCGAGTTCATTTCTATGGAATCATATTACCAGGTTTTTTCAGGTCATGGACCTGGTGCTTGGATTCCAACTGGCAATCCCTTGTCAGCAGCTCAGTGTTTTACCACTGTGCCATCAGGGCATCTCCTCCCTGTGACTACCTCATGGTAAGCAGAGTCAGGTCCACAGGCCTGACCAAAGTCTTGGCCCTGCACGCATGATCATTTCAGGAGCTTCTTGAAAACAGTAACAATTAGGGACATAATTAAACACATGTTGGGTTAACTTGGTTGTAATGGGGTTTTGATTCCTATACTGAGCTGAACTTGACTAAGTGTGAAACAGTATCATTAACTCCTCCAGTCCAGAGACTGGAGGGGCCCAGTGCCCTTTGAACAAGACACTGCCCCTCTTCTTTGCCCAGGGTCTCTCGGTGAAGAAACTAAGCTCTAGAACTTGGGTCTCATGTGTCTGTCCCAGGGCAGAGAGCTGAGGGAGTGTGTCGTATACAGAAGTGGCATCAGCCAGGCCATCCCACCTGGAGGAGAAATGGAGCCCTACAATCTTAAGGACCACTTTAACATCTGCCCAGATGACTCAGGGATGTTGTTGTTGTTGTTGAGTCACTTGCGACTCATAGTAACCCTATATACCTCAGCCCTAAACCCTACTCTATCCTTTGCCAACCCTATTGTCTCTGACACACCTACTTCCATTATCCCAGTCACTGAACTGATCCATCTCATCGAGGGTCTTCCTCTCTTGCGCTGTCCCTCCACCCTCCCAAACATGATACCCCTCTCCAATGACTGGTCTCTCCTTGCAACATGTCCAGTGTATATGAGACGAAGCTTCAGAACCCTTGCCTCCAAGAAGCAGCCTGTTTAACCCTCTCCAGGCCAAGTATGTTCATTCTCTTAGCAGTCCACGGTATAGTCAATACTCCACACCACAGCTCAAAGGCATCAATTCTCCTTCTATCATCCCTAGTCACTGTCCAGCTGTGTATCAAGGCACAGCTGACCATACTCCCTTCTCTGGTCCTTCAGCGTGGGCATCTCCTCAGAAAGAACTTGGCTGCAGATCACCAATACTGGATCAAGAGGGCCCTCAGAGTTATTTTCTCAGCAAACCAGAGTACAAAGTTTCTCCACTCCAATTCTGTATGTCCCAGTCTGCTGGACATTCCACGTGGGACATTTAGTTAACAGTCTTCAAACAAGTCCTAAAGGTCACTGGGGCACCATCTCTCTTTCCCTCACTCCCCTCCTCCCTCAGCCCTCTTCACACGCTCATGCATCATATATACACACATCGTATGCATGCACATGTAGTTTACCCCAAGCCCTAAAATGAAGCAGAACACAAACCTGAAGGCTAACTAGTAGTCCAGAAACACCAGTTTGGGCACCGAAGGTTCTACACAAATAATAGCTCCACACAGGAATAAGGGCAAGTCCCTCCACACTCATATTTGACGTTTTCCTTAAAAGTGGGTGGTTTTAAATCTCTCTTGAAGGAAGTGCAACCAGAGTGCTCCCTAGAGGCAAGGATGGAGAAACTTCTTCTTTGGGCATATTTTCAACAGGAACCAGTCCTTGGAGAGGGATATCATGCTGGGAAAGATAGTCAGAAAAGGAAAGAAAGGCCCTCAGCGAGATGGCTTGACACAGTGACTGTAACAATGGGCTCAAGCATATCAGACGCGATGAGGGTGGTCCAGGATAGGGCAGGGATCAGATCTGTCACTCACAGGCTTCCGAAGAGTCGTAGTTGACGAGACAACACCTCACAACAACAAAAATATTCTTTCCAGAGACTGGTCCCTCCTGACATGAATGGGGATATTAAAAAGAAACAAACAAAAAAGTGGGAGGTTTTCATGACTCACTGTCCAACACATGGGTCAGAGACTTTGGCTGCTCTTTTTGGTTGTGGCCCTTGAACAAAATCCCCAAGGGCATCATCTTCTTGTTGGGCTTTGCACAGGAAGCAGTAGCTGCAGGACACAAAGTGCCTCCACCCAAACCTTCTCAGCCTTCTTCTCCACAAGAGAAGCGAAGTGAGAACAGAGAGGGAAACGGTACCAGTGGGGACCACAGTTCTGTCTGTGCTCACACTCTTAACAGAGGGGGTTACAACAAGAGGCTGAAAGCGCTGGATGTGAAGGCTGGGGAAGAGCTGTCTGGCAGAAGGGAGGCAACCAAGACTCCAAATCAGAAATAATGAGGGGAGGAAAGAGCCAACATCCCTCTCTCCTCAAGACCTTGGCCAGAAGCCACTAAGGACAGGAAGTAATGGAAGAGACACTGAATTGCCTGAATCTGGAGCACCGGCTGAGTCATGGCAGGGTTAAAGACTAGAAGACCTTGTCTACGACTTTCAGAGGGTAGGTCAAACTAAGTAGAAATCTATGCAAGGAGAGGCAATAAAGTGACTTCTGCCTTTAGCAGAAACCACATGTCCCTGTAGAGGACAACATCACCACACAGCTTGGAAAGTGAGCGTCATTCTCAGCTCCTCCTCCTTGGCATCTCAGGGCCTCAAGTGCAGGAACCCTGAAAAGCCCGGTACAGAGTTCTACTTCTGAAAGGACCACAGCTGAAGCTCAGGCCACAGGTGACCGCCCCCTCTAGAGCCTACGTCCCGTCCTCACCATGTCAGGACTACATATGACTCACAGCGACGCCATCAACAGTAGATCTGAACATTGCCCTATCCTGCACCATTGCCATGATCTCTGTCATGCTCAAGTCCACTGATGTAGACACTGTGTCATTCCATTTTGTTGACAGTCTTCCTCTTTTTGACAGACCATCTGTTACCCAGCACGATGTTTTCTCCCCAGGACTGATTTTTTATTGTTGCATGCCTCTTAAATTTATGAGATAAAGGTTCGCCATCCTTGCCGGTAAGGAGCACCCTGGTTGCACTTCCTCTAAGATGGACTTGTTAGCTCTTTTGGCAGTCCACGAGGTATGTAACACAATTCAAAGATACAGGAAACCCCATTCCTACTCCCTGCCCTCCGCCTCCAGTGGTCCCATTTCTCCAAAGCATTGAGTAGAGGTACAAAAGAGTCTGTGGGCTGTCATTCTATGAAGGGGGAGGACAATCCTTTCAGCTCAAAGCCACCATATCTATTGCCATGGAGTCGATTTCAATGCATCTACAGGACACAGCAGGAGAACCACCTACTGTGAACAGGGCTCCCAAGGCCTAAGGCCTTGGCCTCTCTTATGAAAGCAGCTGTCTCATCTGCCTCGTTCAGTGTGGCCTGTGCAAAGTGCCAACCGTCTGCTTAGCCACTGAGTGCTTGAACATTGTGCCTGCAGGCTTCCGAGCTCCCTCCAGCTCAGCACAGGGGCAAATATTTCACATTCTTTTGACTGGTAAAGGACATGGAATACAATTTTGCTTTTTGTACATTCCACATAAGGACGTGAATGTTTACTTTCTCACCTTAGTCTCCTAATAGTCTTGTAAAGTAAAACAGACACTCTTTCTCCCACTTGAAAAATATCTGGGGAACTCTGGTGGTCTAGTGGCAAGAAGCTGCACTGCAATCCCAGAGGCGCGCGGTTCGAATCCACCATATGCTCTGCTGGAGTAGGAGGGGCAATCTCCTCCTGTACCAGTCAGTTCTGATTTAACAGCTCGCGCGGGCATGCACACACACACACACACACACACAAAGAAAGCTATCTGAGCAACAGAGGCCTGTGCCTGGAAAATGACCCTAAGGACACACAGCAGGTGGTCTGTTTCCTCAGACTCTGATGTACTCTACCCTGCACTACACTTCTGTTGCTTTGTGCAAGGAAACAGATGGGCACTGGACTGTGGTCATGTGAGACTTTTCTGCCTGCTGCCCATTGGTCTGCTGTCCCCTTTGCTTTGGAGAGGGATCCTGCTTTCCTGGTACCATGTCAAATGAGAAGACGAGGAAGAGAACGGGAGAGAAAGTGCATGCTCTGAGCTCTTACCTGTTCTGGTCCAAATCCTGCAGGGAGATGCCCGAGTCCCAGTCCATGTCCCTTACTGGTAACTCTAGGGTCCGAGACAGAAGCAGAGGTCAGAGTGAAGCCAGAAGCTGGAACTCAGCCTCATTTCAGAAGTACAGAGCATGTTTTCTCCAGAATCAATCTGAATCCAAAAAAGAGAAATCTAACCCCACCCTTACCTCCACCTGTATCTTGGCCAGAAAGTAGAAGCAGAGACTGTGTCACAGGGACATTTGGTGGACACTGCCATGGCGGAACAGACCACCTGGGGCCTCTTAGGCTTGGGGTGACAAAGGAATCTTTGGGATGGGGAGGAGGGAAGGGAAAGGGCTCCTTCCCAGTTATGAGCACTTGCCCACCAGATGGTACTACTCCTGGTAGAACTCAGCTCTATTGAGGGGGCTGCTCACTGGGAGAGGCTCCTGTCTGCTTGACCCAACTCAAGAGGACAGTGAGGGCCTCTGGGGAAAACGGTATGTCATGGAGAGGACATAATGAAGGTCACTGTGGAAAAGGCTACATGCCCTAGGGAATAAGACATAGCAGCACGCAGGGTGGCTTCTCACCATCCTGGGTGGTCATTGGGGTGGCACAATCTTCAGCAGACTACTTGTGAAATGGTGAAGGGTTTATATCAAAGTTAAGAATAGGATATCCTGACGATTTCAGTCACAGGCAACAGTGCCTTCTCTCCTTCCCTACCCCCCTCCGTATGCACCCCTTTCCCTTCTTCCCCTTCAGGACTGCCTCCTGTCCTGCCCACTCCCTTCCCTGTAACCTAGACCAGAACAGGTCTCACCTGCTGCAGGTCGGTCCCAAGATGAAGTCCAGGCCTGGATCCCTGCCTTCGGGAGACCCTTCCCAGAGACACTCAGCATCTCCTGCAGCAGAAGGCGATTCTTCTCTACCTGGTCTGACAGGGACAAGCCACTGCCCCCAGTGCCCAGGAGGCCCAGCTCTCCAGCTCTCCAGATGTCCTCCAGCAGGGGTGAGGCCTTCTCTGAGGTCAAGGGAGTGCTGTTCAGATCTCCCCCTGTGACCAGATCATCCTGAAGGGAACATGACTTTCCCTTCCTTGGGGTGGGTACATTTTTGTTACAAGGTCCAGGTTCTCCAGGCCAGCTTTGAGCAGCTTTCTGGACAGGGCTCCCTTGAATAGAGCCAGGCCCTGAGGGCAATCCTTGCTCATAGTCAGACAGTGTCCATGCTGCTTCCAGAGGCCAGGAGTTCTTCCCACTCCAGCACGCCAGCTTAGGGGTAGGTGGTCTAGGGGGTCTAGGGCACTGACTTCTGGCAGGTTCGTCTTTGACACTGCTGTCCAACTGTAGGTTCTGAGCATGGGAAGTTCCCACTGCATCTGGTAAGGAAGTCCCTTCTGCTGGAGCCCCAGCTCCAATTCCCTTGAGTCGCCTGCATTTGGATTTCTTGTAGGATGGTCTCTCCTGAGAGGTGGGGCCAGGGCTGGGCCCCTCCTTGCCTGCTGTCCTCTGCTCCTTCAAAGCCCTCACCTTGAACTCCAGCACAGAGGACCCTGGGTGCTGCTCCATCCATGCTTTGGGGCTCTGGGAGGCCATCGGTGTTCTGTCTTCCTGAGGGCAGAGCCAAGTCATCGGGAGGTATCCATTATCGAGCGGCCACTCAGGGCCACTTCTGTCCTCAGATGTTGCTTCTGTGGGGCTGGCTGTTCTGCTCACTACCTTGGGACCTCTGGAAGAAAGAACAGAGAGCTCCTGAGACAGGCACTAGTTCCAACAACCTCCTGGACCCCCACGGCACCTGGATATTGAGCCCTTCCTTCTCAGATGAGAATAATTCAGAGGCAAAGCAGGGACAGCCCTCTAGATATCAAGAAAGCACACTGCAAAGTACAGATCAGTAGACAATACAAGTTATTTTCTTCCAAATCTGAACAGACTTCTAGATTTTTCTAGTCCCGTTTTATGTTGTTACCATTGAATTGGAAAGGACTCAAACTGATCTTTCCGTTTTTAGAAGCTGTAAATCACACAAGAGGAAAACTGCCCATCTTTCTCCCAATGAACAACTGGTAGATCCAAACCATTTGCCTTTTGAGTTGGTAGCAGTTACCTACTAGACCACAAAAGCTCCCTAGTTCCATGAAAATGAACTAGTTCCCTAGTTCCTAGAAAAATGAAACTTCAAATGACAGCTTCCTTATGCTACGGAAGGACCAGATCCCTGGCCTCTTTCTCTGCTGAAAAGCACTCTCAATGAAAGGTGCCTCCATCTGCTAACAGCCCATCCTCAAGGCAAGCCAATGTGGAAGGTGGTAATTAGGAAGACGTCAAGCAGCACCTGACTCTCTGATGGGAGATGTTACACCTTAGCTTTGCCCCTGCCCCGGTGACCAGGACCACGATGAGAAATGATCAAAGGACAGTATTATCTCCATTTTAAAGATGGAGACACTGAGGCTCAGAAGGTAAAAGTGCTAAGGCCCTAACTTCTCATTCCAAATCCACAGTTCTTCCAAAATAATGATCATTTAACTCCACTTCCCACATGTGAGTATATATGGCTGGATTTCACATCTCGTTCATGCTCTGTGGCATAGTGGTTTAAGTATTGGGCTGCTAACTGATCAGATGGTCTGAACCCACTGTCTGCTTTGAGGTAGAACAAGGGAACAGCCTGTTCCTGTAGAGATTTACAGACTTAGAAACCCAACGGGGTAATACTACTCTAACCTATGGAGTCAATATGGATGGACTCAATTGGATGGCGGTAAGTTTGCTTTTTGTTTTTTCATTTTAGTTTACTGGTATGATTGATGCTGATGTCTTGACTGGCAATGAAAGTGAGTGTAAGAGTGTTCTTATGATGTGCACACAGCTACCCCACAATGTCTTCACATCTGTTCCGCTCTCTAGGGAAATACTCATGACATAGAGTGTCTACTGATCAGCACTTTCCAACGTGCTTTAAGTGTTTTTAGATATTCAGCTGCGTCCCACCTGAAATGCAATGCGTGTGTAAAGCTCATATGCACATAAAAGACAAACCAGTAATTATTTAATGCAAAATTGACTAAGGATTGACCATGGAGATTCTATGACATAGTAAGTCCTTTTTCAGCTATTCAATTTATACACTAAGGAGCCCTGGTGACGTGTGTGGTGTGTTAAGCTAACTGTTAACCATGAAGTTGGCGGTTCAGATGCAGCAGGTGCTCCACGGGGAAGATAGGGGAGGTCTCTTTCCCTAACGATTTACAGCCTAGGAAGTCCAACAGAGGGTCACTGTAAGTCAAAATCAACTTGATAGCAGTTAAGTTTGTGCTGATTGCTGGGGTTTTTGTTTGTTTCAGGAATACAGCACTTGACAAAGCAAAACACATAGTGTGTTAAAAGATCATATAACTTAGTGCCAGTTAATGACTTTCATTAGGACTACCCTCCCTGAGATCCTACTACATAGATCATTTACTAGTTCATCTAGAGTTTACCAACTTTCACTCTGGATGCAAGACACTGTTTCCTCTTTTCAACGGACCAAATGAGAAAGCAGAGGATGGAATGCAACATGAGCGATTTCAGTTAGATTGTTAAATCCTTTTGACGGTGTAAAGTCTAGAACCAGCACTCCAATGATAATCCAGCTCTGGGACTTTAAAAGAGGGGACCTTCCCAATGGGGCTGATGGGCAGGCTACCGGGTAAGCTGTTCCGCTTGACGCCTGATTCTGTGACTCAAGTACTGAATTTGCTCTGACTTGGACAAGCTAAAGTGAAGATAAACTAGGGAAGTGGGCCTTCCCCATAACTCTCCAGGCCGTGGGATCTTGGGAGGATAGCTGCTCCCCAAACAGGCTTTGGCCCTACTCTGTTTGACTCCCACTCTTTGGCCTTGGCACCCCCACCCAGCCGACCAGCAGCGCCTAACCTCCCCCGTACTCACTGAGGGCTGCCGCCGGCAGATCTCGCATCTGCTGCCTCGTCCTCCATCCCTTCCATCCCTCGGCCAGGAGACACCCTCCTCCAGCCCTGTCTCCCTCCAGGCCCCCTTCGGGGTCCAGGGAGGACGGCAAGCGGACTCCAGGGCTGGGGTCTGCAGGGCTCGCCCCTCGGGCTGCACGGGGGCAGGGTCGAGGCTGGGGCTCAGCTCGCCGCCCCGAGGGCCGCAGCCTCCCACCCAGCTGAAGGGGAAGCGGGGTCGGGCCGAGGGAGGGCGCTGGGCGGAGAAGCGGCGTCGGCCGCTAGTTCACGGCTCTGGCGCCCTTCAGGGCCGGGAGGGAAGAGACGGAGCAGGACAGAAGGAAGGAAGGAGGCGAGCGGAAGGGGCTGGAGAAGCGGGGACCTCTGCCCCTCCTCACCCCCTGGCTTTCACGGCGCCTCTGCCCACGCTGCCGCCCGCGGGTCTCCGCTCCGTCCAGGCCCAGACGGCCGGGCGGAGGCGCTTCTGCGGCGAGCTTCTCACCGACGTCAAAGGGGCGGGCGGAAAACTGGGGAACCGGCCCCAAATTAGGCAGCGACGCGGCCGCTGGCCCGCCGGCCTGCGGGGCCCCGCTCCTCTCCAGCCCCGAGCGTCGCGCCCCGAGGCCGGGGCCGCCTTCCCCGCAGGACGGCGCGCTGTACGGCCGAGGCCCCGGGCCGGCCCCCATGCCCTCCGCCGAGCGCCGGCACCGAGCGAGCGCGGCTCCCCGCTCAGGAACCACCACGTTCTCGCCGCCTGTAACCCTACACCCAGCGCTCCGGGGTGGGGGTGGGGTGGGAGGTTCCACCAACGGCGCTGGAAGCTAAGGAATGCCCTTTGTTTAGACAACTTTTCCCGAGGAGTCAGTTCTCCCTCTCCCCGGTCCAAGCCCCCGTCACCTCATCACCTCAGCGAGTGTTTCCTCGGAGTTGCCAAGGTCACTTCTTTGCTTTCTAGAGGTGCGAGGGAGTGGCCTCCTCCTCTCCTGCTAAAGGGACCGCCTGGTGCTCCCGCATTGCCCACAGCCTAGCGTAAGGACCCTTTCAGAGGATTCCTAAATAAATGTGGCTTCTCCCCCGCCTCCGAAAAAAAAAAAAAAAAAAAAAAAGAAAAGAAACAGCAAAAGATTTTACGTGCCGAGGGAGTTCAAGCCAAGGGAGCTTGCTATTTCCACCCGGAGATGGGAGCCTCATCAATTTCCAAACTCTTCTCCACAAAGGACAGGAAGCAGTAAGAGAGAACCCAGGAGACTGCGGAACTCTTTACAAAGTTCTGATGAGTCCTTTCTGAAGTCAACACGTGTCTCTCTCAAGCTTGGATGCCCTTGTACTTGTCCGTATGCACTCTGGTCACCATCTAGGTGACTAACACTCCAGTACTTAGGACCCCCATGTGCAGCGCTGCGAGGTGGACTTGGAGCTCAGGTGCTGCTTGCATGAATAAGTAGGAATTCCCATGCAGGACTGGGACATCAGGGTGGGGCAGAACGCCAGGGTCAGAAAGTGTTCTTTGGGGAGTTGGTATTAGTTTGGTCTGGGGCCAGTTTAGGAACCTGAAGAGATTATGTGGCAGAACACTCTGTGTTACATTCCAAGGGCACACAGCTTTGGTGATGGATGCGTCTCTAGACGGGGGCTAAAACTCTTGCAGTTGATCTCCTTTCCTCTCCCATAGCAAGCAGGCACGTAGCAATATCTTAATTAGCACTGCTAGCTTAATGGTATAGTTACTGGTATCATTGATGTAGGGGATATTATACATCGGCCATTGGGCGAAGCACTTTACATACTTAATCTTATGTTGCAGATTTATGAGACATTTATGGGACTTTTTTGTCCCTTAAGTTCTGCAGATAAAGGACCTCTGGTACCGCCTTAGTGGGTAAGGAGTTGTACTGCCCACCCAAAGGCAGGTGGTTCAAATCCATTACCTACCTGCAGGAGAGAGATTGGCAGCCTCCTCCTATATCTTTTATGTTGTTGCTGTTATGTATTGTCGAGCCGCTTGTGACTCATAGTGACCCTATGTACAATAGACCTAAACTCTCTCTGTCCTGTGCCAATGCAAATCGCACTGTCTCCAACACTCCCATACCGATTACCCCAGTCACTCAATCAATCCACCTCATAGAGGGCCTTCCCCTCCTGCGCTGTCCCTCCACCCTCCCAAGCATGATGTCCTTCTCCAAGGACCAGTCCCTCCTTACAACATGTCCAAAGTATGTTAGACGGAGCCTCAGAATCCTTGCCTCCAAGGAGCCACCTGGTTTAACCTTCTCTAGGATGAATCTGTTTTCCTAGCAGTCCATGGTATATTAAATACTCTTCTCCAGCACCACAGCTCAAAGGCATCAATTCTCCTTCTATCCTCCTTGGTCATTGTCCAACTCTCTGATGCATAACAAGTGATTGTGAAGACCATGGCCTGTATCAAACGCACCTTAGTCTCCAGAGAGACACCATGGCCTCTGAAAATCCAGTGGAAGGTCAGCTGAGAGTCAGTTCTGACTCAGTGACACATAACTTTCTATAGATAAGGAAGATGAATCTAGGTACTCTGTTGGACATTATATTGTTGACTCACAGTGACCATAGGAACAGCAGATCTGAGTCCTGTCCAATCCTGAGCCATCCTTATCATCTCTGATACACTTGATCTCATTGCTGTAGCCACTGTGTTAATCCATCTCATTGAGGATTTTCCTTTTACTGACCCTCCATCTTTCCAAGGAATGGCCGCTCATAACAACATGCCCAAAGTAGGTGAGAAAAAGCTTCACCATCCTTGCCTTGTCCATGGGGACACTCAGCATTCTTCCCCAGCACAAGTCAAAGGCATCGATCTTTCTTCTGTTAAGTACTTCTCTGTCAGTTGCTGTCCTGGGCTAGCTTACGGGGTGCTATGATGCTGCCTCCAACCAGTATTTTAATACAAGAAGATCACCCATCCCCTGACAGGTTTAGGGGAGCTTTCAGATTGAGACCCACTGGTAAGAAAGGACTGGCTATCAACTTCTGAAATAAACAGCCTTTAACACCTATGGAAAAAAAATCTGTCCAATGAGATAGTAAATGGCAAGTGTTAAGTGCCCTTGTTATTGCTGTTGTGTACCATAGCGTTAGAACCATAGCTGCCCCTCCGGCAGGTAGTCAGAGGCAATTAATTGTACTGGAGGAAAATGCCCATAGCTGACCCTCCAGTGGGTTTTCAGAAGCATTTAATTGCATGGGAGAAGATTGCCCACCCTCCTGCAGAGCAGCTGCTGGCCTTGAACCACGTGCCTTTGATTTACAGTGCAGCTTCTTGCCACTAGGCCACCAGAGCTCTTTTAAGTGCCTTATTGTTATTATTGTTGTTATGTGCCCTCAAGTTGCCTGCAACCCATACAGCCCTATGTACAGTAGCTTTGAAGCCTGTGAGACAGTCTCACTGATTCCAACACACCAAATCCCATTTCCCCAGTTACTCTATCAATCCATCTCATCTGGGGTCTTCCTCTCTTGAGCCATCCCTCCACCCTAATGAGCATGATGTCCTTCTCCAAGGACCGGTCACACCTGTCCATGTGCCCAAAGTATGTAAGATGGAGCTTAAAAATCCTAGCCTCCAAGGAGAAACTTGGTTTCACCCTCTCCAAGACAGACCTATTTGTTTTCTTGATGGTCAATGTTATGTTCAAGACTCTTCTCCAGTACCACAATTCAAAGGCATCCATTCTTCTTCTGTCATCCTTAGTCATTGTCTAGCTTTCTGATTCATAGCAGGTAATTACAAAGACCATGGCCTGGATTAGGTGCACTTTGGTCTCTAAATGGACATCATTGTTTTTCAGTACTCTGGAGAGGTCCCTAAAAGCAGATTTTTCCCAAGGCAATTTGACTTCTGATTTCCTGACTGCTGGTGTTAAGAGTGTTGATTGTGGAACCAAATAAGCTGTAATTATTAACAACCTCAATCTCTTCTCCATCTATCATGGTGCTGCCAAATGGGCCAGTTGTGGGACTCTTTGTCTTCTTGATGTTGAGCTTCAATCCATATTGAAAACTGCAGTCCTTGACTTTCTGCAGCAAGTGCTTCAGGTTTGCCTCAGTTTAATGTAGGTTGTTGTTGAGTCTTCTTTCAATCCTGATACCACATTCCTTCTCATAAAGCCCTGCATTCCGGATTATCTGTTCTATACATAGATTGAAAGAAACGTATGCTGTCTCCATACCTATTCCAATACCTTTTAAGTGTCCAGTGTCCTCATTTTAACAGTGCTATTGCCAGTACCCTGCTGGTTAATTGAGGAAAGATTTCTTTTTAAAACATTTTTTCAGTGAATTTATGAAAAAACTGAAGTACTCAAAGTAGCTACTCAAACAAAGTGTGCTGCTATGTTGGCCTGGCCTTTCCTTTCTAGGTCTTTCTCTTTTTCTTATTCCTGCCATCCAAGCTAAGTTCTAAAAATCATATATGACTCCTTCCTCCCCATGTGCAGTGTCAAATCCAATAATAGCAATACTGATACTATTATATGGGACCATGTGGGACTGTCTCTTTGTGTATATAACCAAAGCAATCCAAACCAAACTTGTTGCCATTGAGTTGATTGCCACTCAAGGAGACGCTAGAGAACAGAGTGGAACTCCACATCAGGTGTCCAAGGCTGTAAATCTTTAAGCAGACTGCCACATCTTTCTCCTGAGAAGTGGCTGTTGGGTTTACATGACCTATGTTTTGGTTTGCTGTCATGTATCTTAACCAGTGCACCAGCAGAACTCAATGTCCTTCAGTCCTTCACAGAGCACCTCCAATCACTACAGACACTCTGCAAAGTAGGTATTGTCTAGCTCTGCTTTGTTGTTGCTATTGTTAGTTGCTATGGACTTAATCCTGACTCATGGTGACTCTGTGACAGTGTAGAATTGCCCCATAAGGTTCTAGGCTGCAGTCTTTGCAGGAAGAAACTCTGGTGGTGCAGTGGTTATGACTGTGATGGTTGGTATTAGGCAGTCAAGCGAAATTAGGCAAAGCTGGGTGGAAAGAATCTTAGAGGAGA